ATCCATTAGCTAATTTGAAGAAAAACTAGAACCCAAAATGTTTGAATATTGACCCAAAGTGAGTTTTAAAAAATATCTGATATTTCTCTCAACTAACCAACTTATATGCTTTGAGACGTGTCCTCAGTCCTCACACACCATGAGAATATTCTTCTTTTAAGAATACTCAGAGCAGCAAACAATACAAGAATATCCTTAAATCGTTAAGAACGAGGAAGAATGAATACTTAAGGATGCTCTTACCTTTTAAATTGCTCCTTTATTGGTCACTTTTGATCTTTTAACTTATTTATTTTCGATCTCTTACTTTTTTCTAATCTGGTCCCTCAACCTTTTTTTTTATTCTCACATTTGCTTCTATATGTAATTTTTTATTATAATGTAACACATTACAAAACTAGTGACACACTCAGACACATATATAAAATTTAACTATTAGATAACAAAAGTAAAGTTGCTACACCAAATTGAGAAAACTATATAAGTTAAGAAATCAAATATATCATTTTTGCCTAAAAATTAATATTTAATGTTATACACAAAAATTAAAAAATAATTAACTAGAATAAGAATTTGATATATTTTTAGTAAAATATCTCTAAATATTATTTGTCATAATTAATCATAGCAATCATTTCTCACCATAACTTACACATGACGTTAATGCAATATACTTTTTGTATATGATCTCTTAAGGGATGTAGTCTAATTTCAATATGTTTTGTTCCAGAATGCAAAACTAAGCATTAGTATTTCAACACCAAAATCTAGCACTTCTTGTTTGGCTTATAGTATTTAGATTAAATATTCATTTCAATTCTTCTTACTGTTTTAGACATTACTAATTTGGCCTCAAAATTTGAAAAAATATAAAATGGTCACTAAAGATTTCAAATGTGTATCAAATTAGTTATTTTTAGCATGTTTTACAACACCTGGTAGGAACTAATTTGACTATAGAAATGACTGACTTAACTCACATTTAAAATTTTTGGGGACCATTTTAGGTATTCTAATTTTTGATGAATCAAATTGGTAAGGTCAAAGTATAGATTTACTCTTAGATTTAAGAACAACAATGATTGGCAAATATATATTCAATTTGAGCCTAAGATAAAGCAATATAATACAAACTCTTTTTTATTATGGCAAGAAACTATAGAACTTTCTAACAAATGACAAGTATCACATACTCTTCATATCCATCTTGTATCTTGAAAAATTGAAATCTGAATAGTCTAGTAAACTTTGTTGAGTATCATCATGATATCACAAATCCCATATTGAATATGCCTTTTAGGTTTTTAACCACCCTATATATGATTCTTTAACATTAGTTTGATATTTAACATATATATGCATACATTAAACATAATATAAAATCTAATAATTGTTTACATAACAATCAACTAATTAAATCACGATGCTTAGTTTTATCATCTTTGTCTAGGTATCAAGAAGTAGCCACTGGGATTGTTGCTTCTTTAGCTTTCATCATATAAAATATCTTCAAAATCTCTTCACATTATTTAATTTGATAGACAAATACATTAAGTTTGCTTGATTTGTAGTCACTTAAAAAATATAAGACGTTGCATCATAGACATTTAAAACTCATTCTTGATAAGATTTGAGAAGCTTTTACACATTAGTAACACCAAATATAATATTATAAATATAAATTTGCACTAACATGATATTATATTTTGGGGAGGGATCCACTTACTCCAAGAGGGTTTCAACCTTTCAGTTTTCTAAAATAAATTTGTTTAACCTAGTATACCAAAATGTTAGAGCCTCTTTCAAACCACACAATGCATTTGAAGTTTAAAATCATGGTTTGAAAATTTCAAATTTTCATATTTGGGAGGGTATAATAAAAAAAAATAGCACACATACCTGGAGGGTCCTCCATAATGCACATGACAAAGAAAAACATATTTAAACTAATTCAACATCACATTTCATAGTGGAAACATGACTATACTATAACCAAGAAGACATGGTCCTCATAGGACAATTAAGAAGAGAAGAGGAAGAAAGAATGGTACATATAATTTGAAGAGTAAGATATCAAGAAAGAAGATTCAGACAAAAGTAAAAGTACTATGGCAATGAAGGGGGACACTCTTGAATTGCCAAATAAGAGGTAACATATTGTACCACAATACTGTTATTTTCCAAACATGGGTTGGCGTAAACCTAATATATATACTGACTTTTCTAACTCTGGTTGGATCACGTAAGTTTCCTCCTTCAACATGGTTACCTTCATTATCATATATCATAGTGAAGTGACCCTTCCCACCAATGCAGCTACCCATAGATTTGATCTAAATATCTAATATATAGTTCAACTTTTTTAATGCAGAACAAATCATGGATAACTTTAGTTATCTTTGAAATGTATTTTTGAATTTATATACAAAAGAAATAATAAGTGAGAAAGTAATTAAGACAAGATAAAAACATGTATATACTGACAGTGTAAGAGTTTTTTACGCTATCACTGTTTCATTCGATGAATATATCCATATTTAAAAAAAATGGTTGTGAAAAGTATCTGTCTATCTAGAGAAAACTTAGAGCAACATTATTGGTAGACTTAAGAACGGGAACGAATGAGGGTGCAAGCACTGGCCAAAGTATATTGTGTTCTTTTTCTATGTGAATGTGTTCAAATATTTCTCAAATATCTTCTTTATTCTGTGAAATAATATATCTTCTTTCATATTTGGTATAGCTGATCCATCATTTTGATGATTCTTGAATGCATTCCAGCTTAATTAAGTGACTAATTTTATTTAAAAAGTGGAGTTTGTAACGTTCTTGCAGTCTTTTTGATTCCTAATCTGGATGGGTATTTGAACTTTAATTTCAAGCTTGGGTAATAAAGATGTTGTTATCAACTTATTCTCCTAAAGACATAGCAATTGCCTTTATAATAACATTCTTTCATAATCATAGGACCCCATATATGAATGGTGTCTCTAGCAATATAAGTTTTGAGGTGATTGGGAGAAGAATCTTAATTACATGCATGTAAGTCATTACATAATGGAACCATTTAATTCATTATGCAAGTTATAGCAGCAGAGAAGTACTGCAAGAAAAGATGAAAACATAAATAATATTGCTGACTACTAATGGAGATTATTAACTCATGATAGCTGGTCATAAAGATAAAGCCAAAGAAAGTGTTGGGATAGTGAGGGTAGTAGGAATAGTTTGATTTATTATTAAAGAAGGTATTAAGTTTAAAATGTACAAATAGCATTGTTACTGTTTTTAATTAATTCCTGAATACACATATGCCCAATCTAATATTCATATTAAATTTTACCCATATAAATTATATTACACACTTAGACTTTGTTTCCAAGTTTAATTTCATCATACATTCATAAGGATGAATATAGTGATCCAGTGTGGTATCATCTCAATTACAATAATCACCACCATTAGACATCAAACCATTTGAAATCCAAAAAATATTTTTTTAATTATAAAAATGTATATTAAAACCTAGTCATATTGCAATAACCACAAATTCGATGTCTCTAATCAAGATCGTCTCAATTTAAAATCATGGACATGCCAAAATAACTTTATATTAAATATCAAGCACCATCCTAGTTGGATATGATACTATCGTCAATGAGAAAATGAATAAAAAAGTTTATAAGTAAAAAATAGTATTTACTTAACTATTACCTTAAGATTTTGGTTCATAACATGATGTCTTACTTATAATTATTCAATCTTTTCATACTCACTAACCCTAACAATGAGAGTCTATGATGGTTGGGGACTCAGAAGTTGGGGTGAAACAATGATGAGGAACTCAATACTTTGATCATGTGGATAACCTACCAACCCTTAGTTAATATATTATTTGTTTACATAGTAAGTGTAGCAAGTATGTAAACTTTACATTGTGAATGCGTATCTATTAATCTTATATTATTTATCTTCACCAATTACCAAGTTAAAATTAATCCCATCGTGAATTATATATGATTTGTTTTGAAATAACTTTCAGTGCAGAGAATCCTGAGTTATTTGTGAGTAGTGTTAGTTAACTTCCCGGCAAAGTTACCACTACAGAGAAATTTAAGGTCATGTGCCTTTACGCTTTGTGGGTTTCAACATTCAACTCCACTCCACTCCCCAATCTCCGTCACTATATTCAATTTTCGATACGAAAATATCGTAGTTGACAGCGTATAAGGTAAGGAAATATATCATGTAATATATAAAAATCATTTTACCCATGGAAAAGTGTGGTTCTTTTTTGGAAACAAAATTTTAAAATAGATAAAAAGTCTTCCCTCCACTAAGGCACTAACTTACACGCTGAAGCATTGACACCGGGGACAAGGATGACCATCCCACTTCTTGTTCCATTCCATGTATCTGGTCAACCACAATGCTGCAACATAAATAAAATAAAAAATAAAAAATAAAAAGTAATAAAAAATAAAATTTTGATTAGTTCGATATAAAATATCCGCAGCTATATATATAGCTAGCTTTTTTAATTAAGCTGCTGCTTTCATGGTGAAAAAGCATTGTTTTAAAGAAAAATTGAAATCAGTGCAAAGTCCCTCACCTCAATTATAAATTTATAATGTAACTAGTCATAACAAAGATCACCTATGTCCTCATTCCTTAATTTGAGTAAATCATAATCAGTAATATGAAAATGTTATATTTTATTTTAAAAAAATTTCCTTTTTATTTACGTGATAATATATGATTGGTTCACGATAGAGAATGATAGAGTTTTAGGATTAATGATCTACTTTCACCTTTTTGTTCTCCTATAAAAAGCCTTATAATCTCTCCCCTCTTCTTAGTCACCAGTGTTCATTAGCTTCTAGCTTTCTCTCTCTCTCTCTGTCAGATCTTTCTTCAGTAAGTTTTCATCATAGCCTTTATGCACATACATATGATCTTATGCAGGGTTTGGCTCATGGAAAGAGTGGTTGAAGAGAATATGGAAGAATCTGTAAAGCTCAGGAGGGATAGCGCCATTATACCAACCAATGATTTAATCATAGCAGTATATTTGGCGCTGTCCATCCTGAGTTTTCCGGCTTCTTCATATATATGTTCTTACCCGTTACCAACAACAAAAACATGAAGAATGAAAAAATCATTCTTTCTATGCATAAATAGACTATTTTATTAGCTTACTGTGATTCACTCTGAATTTAGAAATCAACATGTTGATGATGAGGTGGATCAAGATATCTCTACTCAATTGAATTCCATCATCTAACTAAACACGTGTTGACTAATGTTTTGTTCTTCCTAGTTAGTTTTGTATTTTCTTAGCACTCTATCTGAGGTTAGCTAATTAGGTATATGCACGCTTTCTTTTTCTTCTTCTTCTTCTTCTTGGACTTTGAATTTTCTTCTTTCTTTGTTAGTAGCTACAACTTATTACTTAGTTATTATTTAATTTGTGTTTCCATTTCTCACTCATATACACAGAGACAGTCACTGAAAACAATATGCTGCATAGTTTAGATATAATATCCTATTTTAGTTGATGTTAGTGGTTGTAGCATTTAAATAATAAACTAATCTATTTCATTCCTCACTTTTTTTATTTGAACACTTAGTTTTAGACATAATATATATTACTTCTGTTATTTATTATGTTCTTTTTATGAGTATATATAAAGAATGAGATATTTCTATCTTAATAACAAAACCACTTTCCTTTTTGTACCAAAAAAATCAATTTCACAACACTCATAAGGAAATGGGAAAGGAGAAGTTTTTGCTCAACAAAAATTCAAACAATGAAAACTTTACCCTTTTCATTACTATTTAACATACATGGGATCATTCTTGTGGTAAAAAGAAGGGAAATTAAGGATGGTTTGTATTTTCTCTCCTCAAACTAGTAGGCATAGGATGTAGGTGTAAGAGTTATTTATAATATAATATAATATTTGCATTGTTCTAGGTACTTTAAACTCTCATGATTTTCAATTACTTATTTTATATTTTAGTTTTTAGTTATTTTCCATCAAAACTAGTTGTTAATTCAGTTATTAATATAATATCTTAGGACAATATTTAAAATATTAGTTAATTTTATATAAAACTTGAAATATATGATTCTTTTTATATTTCTCTGCACTAACATAAATAAATTATTATTATAAGTTTTTCTATAAATGTTATCAATAAATAAAAATAGTTTCTCATAATATCCCACTGTTTCACCAGAAGGAGAATGACCTATACTACAAATATTGCTAAGTACATTTTGAAACCAGTTACTGTCTAATGCCTTGACCAGTTGACTGATATTGTACACAAAAAGTAACTAGTTTTTCTAAGTAAAGTACTGATAAGTGTATATTTAACTGGCACAAGATATTGGCATCTCATTTATAACAAAAGAAAAAGAAAAATGCAAATATTCAATTTATATATATATTTTTCTTTCTTTAGAAAGATGTCAATATTAAATGTTGTTTACACATAAAATACTGTTCCTCCAAGTATAATTATTGATGATGACATAGGAGATTTTCAAATTATTGTTTTAATAGTATTTTGTAAGAGTGGAACATTTATCTAATGTCAGTACAAAAATATATACACATTCACTACATTATTTATCATTTATTTATATTATTTTTGGAAGAGTTAATTGATAGTCTATTTTATGATTTGTTAATAGTAGTTTGTTCTGAAAAGATATTGATGAGTTAGGTATGTGTTTAATGGTGAGTTCTGAGATATGAGGAGCAGTCTTTCTCCATCTGGGGGCTCATCTGAAAAGTGAAACCCTATTCCTTCAGTTCAGACTTATAGCTATAAAGCTATCTATTTCACCTTATTACAGGTTTGAATTTCATGAGCTAGTTAATGTTTCCAAAATATTTGACTGCAACCTTTGCAGGTCATTTTCATTTGTTATTAATAATAAATGTTTGGAAGTTAGTTACTGTGTATGTTGACTCCTTAATTTCCAACTTGGATCAGGGTCGTATGTTTCGTCGCTTTCTGTTTTTACAACTATAATAATTAACTAACTTCTTCATTATCTCCATCAATAAATTTCCATTAAAAGCAAAGTTAATATAAACAACAGTTCATATGTGTGTTCCTACTCTCTCTACTACTATTTTTTTCAGTTCATGATGTTCAACACATGCTAATTAAATAATTTGAGTTTAGGTGCCCTCCAAAATTAAGCCATATCATAGTGACTTTATTTTGATGGGGTTTAAACCTTAATTTTTTTCTCCAAAATATATATACTGAGGTGAGAGAGTGATATGGTTATGTTAACTATGAGTCACAAGCTTTTTTCATTAGTTGTACTTGATAAATGGATTATCGTTTTATTTTTCTTGGCATATCCATTTCCAATTAATTGAACATGCAATAAGATATTAATGAGTTAAGATTCTCTTCTTTAGTGAAGAGATAAATGTTTCAAAAACTAATGAGAAATGAAATATTTAATAACATACACACATATTCATTTGATTATAATGAAGTTACATTTTTTGTCATTAAAAATAAAGAGAAAACGCAGATATACCTATGCCCTAATGAAGACGAGGGTAGTTTTATTAATATCTATTCGGCCATTATGGTGTTGGAATGTAGTATATTATATTGGTGGGTTGTTTCAAAGATTTAGAAGTTTGAATCAACTTTAGGGGACAATATGTGTCTTGCTGTACGTGGACAACCCAACAAACTTTCTGGTAACATATCTCCAAGGTTCTACTACTATTATTGCATATCTATTGTAGAATACTTTTATAAAATGTTATATATTTTCATCTTCATTTTCAGCGCACTAGTGGGTAATGTGGTTGAACAGTACTGTTGTATGACATTTATTTAATAAGGCATTGCGAGTTGTTGTTGAAATTATAGGGTTGATGAATAAAATAAGAAAATAAATTGCGAGTTGTGTTTATTTGATTGTCTCAAAAAACTTACAACTAACTCATATTTATACTAATATCATAGTCATAATTAAATAAGAAACAAATCATAATAAAATACTCTGTATCCTAATAGATCTCCTAAGATACTCTAAACAAATCTAAGATACGATTATGATATATTCTCTTAAGATATTCTAAAAAACTATTATACTATCATAGCGTCCACAAAAACGCTTTTAAAGTATACCATATACTACTGCGATCAAAACAATAGTGTACGGAAACGTTGTTCTATGCTCGAAATGAGCATTGTTGCTTTACATATCTCACGAGTAATCCCCACCTACCAGTATATAGACTTTATCTTTTTAATGACAATTGTTTCATGACAATGGAGTTTGAAAATTTGTCATTCCAAAGATGCTACTGTACCTTGAACTCAAGCTTAAAAAATGGTGCTACATACTGGTCAAATATAAAATTAAAATGTAGACACATGCATTAGTTATACTATGCAAGTTATATTTTTATGTATATGTACATCCATTTGTTTTTTGTGAGTAATTGATTTAGAAAAAGATGGGTACCTACGATTGAATGATGTTCATATCCTACAACAGCAGCTAGCAAGAATTAGTTTGCATTATGTGGCCGCAGTGGGAGTGGCAGACCAAAATGATTAGGCTGATAGAGAATGATTATGTTTCTACTAGTAACTAGCTCATAGTTATGTATCCTTTTAATAATAATCTTATTGATTAAGAAATAATAAATTAGATACTGAATCATTTTGGTCTATAATTTAATACTTATTTTTAAGTAGTTAAAAGTATAATGGATAATTTTAAAGAAGAATTAACTTTTAATACATCATGTGACTAATCCATAAAGTAAAATTGGCTAAACATTTGTGATAATGGGATTGGTTGTGACCAACCTGATATTTGTTGTAGGGGTTGGGCAAACCAACATAGTGGATTTAGACTGGTTAGGGTCTAGAGAAATTTGAGAGCAAAAGCAAAGTGACAACATGAAATGATGCAAGTAGATAGAGAAATGAATTTCAGTGTATTTGATACTCGAATGGAGAGTAACTTAAACTTGAGGGGATGTTGGGAGTGTGAAATCGGATATGCAAATAGGACATGCTTTTTCACTTTGCTGTATTTATAAACATAATTAGCAAAAGATGTCCACTTGTTGGAATTTGTGGGGAATTTTTGCAACCAATACAGTTCATAGCAATTTGATAAGAGTACTGGACCCATGGAAAATTGAAGAAAAGATGGGTGTGGTCACTACATGCAACACAGAGAGAGCAATTTGCATTGTTTGCAATCATATTAAATCTCATCAACCCATCTTTAGTCATCAACCTTTTTCTTAGAACCAACCATGCAATAAAGCTGTGTTTAGGTAGATAGATTAAATCTACCCCAAACCATTTTAGTTTTCTTTCTGAACTGTTTTTAAGTGTTCTATTTATTTACTATTTTCTGTATTCTGATGCCTAGTAGAACTTATGAATTTGGAAATGATAAGAAATATAAAGAGAAACTCTTAATAGTAATGATAAGAAACCACATAACTTGTTTTCTAAATCATTACACTCACTTCCAATCATGAAAAACACTAAACATAACTCCTCAATTCATAAGCTCAAAACAATGACTGTCTATTAAGCTAGTACTTAAGGAACTAGTAAAGACAACAACAATGCAATAGTTGAGGAACTTGAATTTATGACTAATGATGTTTTCTTCATCTTAACATTGTGGCAGATCTGCAGGTGGAGGTATCACTGACTGTGATGGCCCAACTCCATTTTCCACGAGAAGCGCGGTTGCTAGACCCCAATTCAGATGTGAGTCTATGTGACAATGCAAGAACCAAATTCCTGATTTCCAACAATCAAATCAAAATCACACATCTTGGTTAGTAAGTACGGAATGCTATGCTATTTTGCTAATACAAAACTGTGATTGGCAAACCATGTTAGAAGTACGGATTCACATTTATGTACCCTTTTGTCATATGCATACTCAAATATGTTCTGATATAAATTATGGTTAACTAAATTACATAACAGTTAAGTAGTTAACCATACTTCATGCCTCATCACCTTTGGTGCAGTTACCATTAGGGGTATGTTAATGTTACCTGGATTATCAGCC